TTATTAAAACAATACAATTTAGAACAGCATGAAATAAACTACTCTCTCTCTCTCTCTCGTTTAACAAAATTTCACAAAAAACGCACGTTTAATCGGTTATGTGTATATCAAAGTGAATTAATTTGATATAAATCTCTCCCGTGGAAAAAAAATAACGAAGTATTTTATACGAATATGAACGTATTGTTTCGAATATGATTCGATATTCAGAGCTGCAGAAGTCTAATGCGGACTTGATACGAATGCATACGCGTATAGTGCACGAACGGGCACGAATTGCTACCATAATATTCTACGGGTTATTATTTGGCAGTCAGGGATAGAAACTAGCATGGGTGCAATCTGTGCAATTCTAGGGTCCTCGTCCGAAACGTGGCACGCAAGGACGTAAAGTTGTAAGGTCGTTCTACATCCCTGACAACACAGGTGCCAAATGGTCCAGGCTACAGTTCGATAGTAAATCCAACATGGCAGGCAAGATCGAGACTAAAGGGAATGAAATACACATGAGTACGTATACTGCACGATACTGTAAAAAGAAACGGACATGTTGAATTGTACATAAATGCAAGTATAAATATTCGTTTATCTTATAAATTCTATAAGAAAATATTATAAATATACATACGATGATTTTGACGGTGAAACAAATGAATGGTGGATGACTAATTTTATACATGATGATACATCGGTATAATGTCTACGACATAATAATAATAATAATAATAATTCGTATTTTTCAATGAATGCAAAAACAAGATCAGAATGTCTAAAAGAATTTCGATGATAGTCTCGTGGTCGGGATCGGGATGGGTGGCGATGATAAATGGCAGTATATATCCCATATATGTGATCACTTTTTAATGATGACAACTTTATACACGAAAAGGAATTCGGGACAATTCCTCGAAACTATCTCGTATGCCGGTACAGTGAAGTCCCAGTATCATTGATTCCGATTACAAAGTCGGTGTGATGCTCGCCTCGGACTTAATTAATGACGATGATAACAGGAGATATAACATAGCTAATCTTACTAGGACGACGATCGGAGGTAACAGCAAATAACACGGTGCGTCGGTATTTGAGTTTGGACGAAAGTAATCGGCGGGAAGTTTCTCTGTACATAAAATTCGTGAAATGTAGAGTACATACAAAATGCAATTCCGACACGCTCACTCGTTGGTCGACACACTCTGAGACGCGATCTCTCTGTACAGTTTGGTTTCCATATTTTTTTTTCCTCCGTTGGAATTTCCGTTGGACCGATAAATTATATATTTCGTACACGGCTACTATACAACTGCGAATAGGATCACTGTCGGCCGCCCAGGTGTTTAAACTATCCCCTTCAACAGCGACGTTAGAGGCGCATTGTGGCAGTGTCGCGGAACGTACGTGGGCGATTACGCATCGCTGTTAACGTCAAACTTTCATTAATTGGACGACGATTCTCGTACGTTAGATCGTGATCTAGACAGGTATATTGTATGTATATGCGTATGTACATATGCACTTAGTGTGTTTCGATAGATAGCAATATATCATCGTTAAATCGTAATGAGCATAGTTTTGATTACTAATTAGTATCTATGATACAAACACTTTTCATATGTGGTCTTCGACGATTCGTTCGCAATGCTTGTCAACGTCTCAAACATACGACGTCAAGGATGAAAAAAAGAAAAGAAAAAAAAAAGAAAAAAAAAGTAATGAATTACGTCTGTGGTATTACTTACTAATCGCGCCTACACAATTTTTCGACGGAGCAGTTTTGGAGTATGGCAGTATCGAGTATGGCGGTATCGAGTCTCGCGTAACAATTAATTACAGCTATCCTCTTACATAATCGTGTAAGTTTTCGAAAAAACGGATTGGATGATCTCGATGCGCGATCGGCCGTCCGTCATTAAGAGCTGCTACTGCGAGCATAAATTCGGCGATCTCGGTCGAGCATTTCAGTCTTACGTTCTTGAATCCCGCAGGACGCGCGGCTGCAGGGAATACACTCCTTTCTGGATGCAAGCGAAATCAGAACAGAACGAAATGAGCTATCC